AAGCATTATTCTCATTAAATATAAAAGTAAAATACTCTAATACATTTTATTTACTGGGCTGTTAGCTCTGGTTTTAGTAGCTGTTAGCATTGTTGTTAGCTTTTCTCTGAGCGGTTGTTAGCTCTGTTTGTGTTAGCTTAAATTTGAGTTGTCGTTAGCATAAAGCCATTTCTCCACTAGAGCAGTTTAAACCGGTACGTCAGCTTTTTGTTGAATATAAAAACACTGACTTGAAGTTGTCTTCCTTTTCTTTTTAAGCTTATTAGCAGTTTTGCTAAACATCAATTTAGCATACTTTACCATGTACTAGCAAGGAGTTTGGGTCAAAATTGCAGTATAGAGCAAATATGCTTGAAAATGATGATTCAAAAATGTTTCCATGAGAAACAAGAAATTATTTATGTTTACATAGACTGTTAATGTTCTAGTTTTTACTGCTATACACAGTTAAAGTAATCTGGCTCTTTAATTAAAAACATAAGTAATACATAAAATTATTAATAGATAATCCAATTAATTTTTTATACTACTTATTATTAACTCGGTTTTTTATTGAATCAAACTGATATCAAATTGAATTGTGGTCCAAAGAATCAAAATTAGATTGTAATTGTGAGGTTACTGACTGGAGGTAAGATACTGACTGCTCAAAAGTACTCATCTTCAGATAAACTGAACATTTTTAAAACTTTATACAGCCAATCAAAATGTGAGATCAGATTATATGAGCTAAAAAAGTAAAATATTAAATGTAATCCTGACTACAGAAATGGTTTCATAAAACTCAGCGAAGACTTAAAATAATATTCAGTTTACATAAACATCTCATCTAATCTTATCAGGATTGCAGGATGTGATTACCTTTACAGATTAAACCCAAGAAAACATGTCACATGGATTATAATTCATTCATCTGTAGTGCATTTAAAGTTTGTATATAACCAATTATATCCTGTATAACTTAACCCTGTATAGTCCTCACTTCCATCGAGAAATCTCCCTTCTCTTTGTTTTCAGGCTTTAAAAGCTCAGAAAATTAACCAAGAACTTTTCTCCCATAAATCCAAGACGGAAAATTGGGGCTTCGTGTTCAGGCAGATAATATACTCTCCAGTTGGGATAAATAAACTACTATTCTCAGCTCCAATTATCCCACAAACCCCCCTGTATTTTCTTTACACCCTGAATACACACCACGGAGCTTAGAGTTTTATTACTCCCACTTGCGTCTGCTTTGATAATATATAAGCTCTAATATAACATAAAACATGGCGTTGGGCCACCCAAGGGAAACATCTTCTCCTCGTTATGTGCTAAAAACTGTAAATCTGGAGTTAAATAGAAAAAATGTAAACAAGAAGGATGTAGAGATCCACTCTGTCTACAGATCCAGATGGTAAATGACTATTTTATGAGGCTTTTTTTATGTGACTAGAGGTAAAACATTCCCTTACTTGGAGAATTTTAACAATCATGCTTGCATTTATCTTTTTGTGTAGATTATTTACCTTCTTAGGAACTTGTAAACTCTGCAAAAAAGCTGCATTTTTATGCACTGAAATGTTTCCGACTTGTGTGAATTCCTGTAAAGCTTGCAAAGTACTTCTGCATATTGAGAGGCTTTGTCTCTACATGAATGTGTGGGCATGCCTGAATGTCAGCATAACATTTGTGTGTATATTTGTGTGTGTGGGCGTGTGTGTGTGTGTGTGTGTGTGTATGTGTAATCTGCAGAAGAGACAAGCCGCCAGGTAAAATTAGGCCATGAAGATGATGAGTGTCTGTGTTACTGGGAGGGTCTGACGAGCCCTGGAGAAAGGAAAATCTGAACTTTAAATTTGAATTAAGAGCAAATTCACCTTGCTCTTAAAAATGAAAGCGTAATTGTCATACAATGTTAACTTATCAAAATTACACTGATTCTTCAAGGATTTTTGATTAGCTTAACTTGGTTTTCTTTGAAAAGATCAATCGAATTAAACAGAAAAATACATAAAAAGAAAAACCGCAACACAGAAATGCTAAAACTCAATCTAAATATATGCAAAATAACAAACGAAACATAAAGGAACAACAATAATAGGCATAAAATGATCAGAAAAACATCTATGATAGGATGAGAGAATTGAATATTTAAAAAAAACATAAAATTGTGCTTAAAACATTAACTACTTCTGGGAAAAGTTGGAAATTAACCACAAAGACACAATAGCTACAAAAAACACAAATATACTTCTTTGGGTGAAAGCTGCAGAGAAACGATAGTCATTAAACGTTGCGATCTTTAAACTAAAGTAGTGAGTTTGCAAGGGGGAAAAAAATCTCTTGGCCTTTGTTCGAACTGAACTGAAATGTTACAAGCCAAACTATGAAAACCGAGCAAACATGCAAACATTAGCTGAGCAATTGAGCAGAGGCACATTCAAAAACAAATGATGAAGCTTTGCATGTTTTATCAGAACATTACAGAAGCACAGGAAGAGGAAAAAGCTCAAGAAAAAAGGAGAAGTAGAAGTAAAGTTTTGTTGGTGGTGGGTGTGTATCTAATGCCTACCCAGGGGACCCTGGAGGCGGGTAGTTTTGGGTAGGAGTTGCCAGGCGATTGGGGAAAGTTGGCATTGCACTTACCTCTAATTGATACCACATTGTTCCAAAGCAACCACAAATACATTAATGCACATCCACATACACCATGTGGTGGTGAGTTTTACAATCTGTTGGCTTGTGTCTACCTTAATCCATAATTTTTGTTTATCTGCACCGATTGCAGTTTTCTGGCCAATCTTTAAAAAGCCTGAACAGTCGATTCCGATTTTGGTCGATACCAATTTTTTAAATCTGAAATGGTGCCCATATATAGCAAGAAAGTCACTGAATTGGCAACAGAGTTAACTTTAAACATGCAAACATGAACTGGTGGGTCGGTCAAGGAGTAAGATTGGCTTCACATGTACGCATCAGCCAACCACCAATCTCTAAAAAAAAAAATGTTGATAAATCGGTGCACCCCTACTTTCCTGCAACGGATGCATCTGTAATGAGTTTAAAGTTTATATACAACTGTATAAAGTCACAGTTTAAATGTGGCGCTACAGTTGCATAAAAACAAAAACTAAAAAACAGCTTTTTCCCAAAAGCAATTACCACCCTGAATACTCACATGCACTAATTATATGGTGGCTATACATAAATGTACATAAATTCAACTGATTAATATTGTAAATAATGTAAATATATTTTAGATATTTCCTACATTGTTTGCACTGTTGGACATGTGTACAGTGACAAACATTAAATTAAATCCAATTCATGATAGCTTGTGGATTCATAGTTAGTTTAAAAAAATTATTTTGGGGTGACTGATGTTTGGGGGTTCCAAATTTTCTTTCTAAATTTAATCTGAAGAGTTTTGTCAGGCAGGATCAAGCAAAAAAAAAAAAAAAAAAAAAAAAAAAAACAGGATATTAAATATACCTATATGAAAAGTATGCAAAGAAATGACACTTCAAGATTATTTTCTGGCAGCTTACATCTTCATATGCAACAAAAATTCAAGGCAGACAGAAAATGGAGTTAAATGTGCCCAAGCAAATACCAATCCATAAAAGGCACACAAACACAAAGAGACGCAAAATGACCATATAAAGATATGAATTCCCATCTTAAATGGATCCTGTAACCACAGAAAAGCCTCCAAAAAGATAGAAACCTTCCACATAAAGACAAAATAAGAACCCAAAGTGATGCAAAATAAAAACAAAATGAACACATAGAGGCTAAAATCAGCAGAACCAGTCAGTGTTGGATGTGATGCGCCCAGGTAACATCCTTTAGGCATAAATCTAACTTAAACTCAGCAGGCAGTGTCTCTGACAGCCGAGGAGAAGATTTGTCCTTAATTCCCAAAAAGCAAGCCTGGACACATTCCTTCTAGGAAAGCTTCTCTTTGCATCCATGAAACGTATTAGAAAAGAAGCCCAACACATTCCTTTTAATGAGATTTCCTCAATATTTTAGCACCTTTTTCACAATTTCAATGCATTTTGTAGGATTTCAGTGATTAGTTGCCTAAAACGTCCTAAAATCCTCTTACCTCTGTGCTGAGATTTTATCTGTGCGACCACCATCAGCACACAGATGCTGGTCTGCCAGCTCGTAATCAACCACCTGCAGCGTTCAGGCATCCTGATTCCTTCACGATTCTGACAGAAAACCACCCCCAAAAAACCAAACAAAAACAAAAATAACAAACAAATAAAATCCTCTCAGATGTTTGGAGGGTCACTTCTCATCTCAGCCGCAGAAAGCAGAGAAATAAACAGCAGAAAATCCTCCAGCTAACCAGCGCAGGGTCTGTGCGCCTTTACGCACTGCTCTGAGCAGGAGACACGCCGCTCTGAACGCTACACTTCCTGTAGAGGTTTTCAGATTAAAGGCTTTTCTGATCAAGAAAGGAAATCATTTTTTGTAATCTAAATTACCAAATCAGAAGAAAAACTTTGCAATGTTTGCAAACTATGCATAAAATACGTAAAAACGTGTGTTAGCCTTTAGAGGTCTGATCAAACTCAACTAAAGGACACTCTTAAAGGGACAGTCTTGTATTTGCACTAGAGAAATTAGAGATACATTTACTTTCTTTGAAGGCAAACGTTTACAAAAACAAGATACAATTCCTAAAAACAATAAGAAATGACAAGAACAGTTTGAAAAATGAAAAAGATAATGAAATTACATCAAGGGATTTCGATTTTCTGATGCAGTAATTAACAATATTTAAGTAATTAGTGGCAAATCTGAAGATGTATTTTATGCTTTCTGCTTTCTTGTGTAATATTGAAAAATCCATTTAACATGCCACAATGTCTGATTCAAACAATCCTATAAAAGCATTTAACACAACAGAAATGTCCAGAATTGTAGCGAGGAGGTGAACAGAGCTGCGCCCCACGCTGACAAACTGCATCTTAACGCCTAGAATATATTTAGTAGAGGTGTGCCGATCGATCGGCCACCAATCATAATCGGCCGATTTCAGTGAAAGTGTATGATCGGTGATCGCCGATCACTTGTATCTCACTTCGCAGCCTGCATGTGCAGCTCATCTACTCTTTCCTTCACACTGCGCAGGCGCACGGCAACAAATCCTAAGCAATGTGGTGTGGAATTTGAACGGTCTGAGAGTGAACGAGGAAGTTTGCGTGTTACAAAATTACCTCAGGGGTGAAGCACGTCAAAATGCATCAACACAACGAACCTATGTGACATTTAAAAAAACAAGCACTTGACGGAGTTTGGCTACATCGAGGCTCAATGCAGGAAAAAGGACATCCGCAGCGGCCAGTTTAGCAGCGCACAGGTACAAACACTCACCCGGATTAGCATCACGGTCGGAAAGCTAAACAAATAACCTGAAAGATAATTTAAGTCTTCGAGCTGCGATGTAAGACGCTGGTTCTGCTCTCCTGTTGAACCGCTGCTACGCTACAGGTAGTAATATTTGACAGACGGAGCTTCGCTTCTGCTCCACGTGGTAGTGACTCTCACACCGAACCTGTTTAAAGCTGCACGTAACTTAAAGATTTTAGATATGTATTAAAACTTTGGTTGTCCTACGGATAATCTCTGAAAAAGTAATCCAACTCCTCTGCCTCCTCTTGTGCTCTGCAGAATTACTCTGCTCGGTCAGAAACAACCAATCAGAACCAGCATTACTCAGCTAGCCAAGCTATCAGGAAGGATTGTTTATTTTGATGCAGGCTGCGTTTGACTTTGAATGAATGTTTCCTTTTTTGCTTGACATTATTTGATATAGGCCAGATTATTTGACTCATGTATAATTTATGGTACTGAGAGCCTTACTGTTAAATATTATTTTACTGATTGCAGGTTTTTAGTTGTCATTTTGACTCAGTAGCTGCTGTATTGTGCCTGCAAGTATTTTGCTTTTTTTTTCTAAATTAGGTGAATTTATTGCCATATAATTTTAAACATTTTGTCAGATCACATAGTAGCATTTATACCTAAAGCAAAAAATTAACAGTCAATCCAGGTGATCGGCAGAAATCGGTTATCGGCAGCAGAAAACCTGATCGGAGCGTCCCCATTATTTATGTTGGATTACCTACTGGCTGAAAGAAATGTTGTTTTTCCAAAATCAGCTCAAGTCTGTTTTTCTTTTATTCTGCTTCTAAATTACAAATAACGTTATTAGTGCACATGACACATGTAGTAAAAAGGTTTTTTGACTTCCATGTGTTTTCTATCATTGGATAGCTTAGAATCCATATCTGTAAATTATTCAAAATGCCCGAAGAAGACTCACATTAGGAGGAACAAAGACAATGACTTGAGAGACTAATATTTTCATTTCAGGTTATGTGTTCTGGTCATTTCCATAGCAATGATCAGAAGCAAGACCTTGACCTGGAAGGTGAGCTTGTTGATGAGGTCACAGATGACCTCATGAGGATATCTCTGTAGAAATGGATGAGAATGGTATGCTTTTTCCCAATAGGATTTGGGTTGGGGTACATAGTTACCAAAGAGATGCAAAAAGTATGGGATTATTTATGTTCTGAAAAGGATGTGGACCAAAGTAATCCTGGTGAAATGCTGGTTAACGATAGTTCCACGGTTTCCGAAGGACAAAGCGAAGGGCCCCCCAGATGGCACACGTGCGCCGCTGGCTGAAGTTCCTGGACCCTGATGCGGTGCAAGTCACAGCAGCCTTCACTTCAAAGCTCCAAAAGATAACAGAGTATGTGGAGAAGCTGAAGGTCGCCAAGCTGAAGACGGCCACCATATGCCAGTCAGTGGCATTTATAGCACGTTTCGTCAACTTTGCCAAAGAGCGTTGGGAAGGCAAGGAGGCCACGGCGTGCGACGCCTTTGCCCAGGCGCTTGTGTCTGCCACCAGGACCCTCAAGCGCGAGAGGCAGCACAGCAAAAGGCAAGCGGGGTTGCAGACGAACTGCTGGTGTTGACGTGAAATTCTCATTGATTTGAAAGTAGTAAGGACTAAATTAATTTCATGTCAGTATGATGTTGTTTCAGGGCCAAGCTGGTCATCGACACAGCGACTAGCGTCTTCAACTGCCAGAGAGTCCTGTTCAGGGCACAGGAGGACGTGAAAAACATAAAGGCCAGCACGTGGGGTTGGTTGGACCCCATTTCTACATACAAAGGTTAAAATAAAACAACTCACTGCTCACCCAGCAGAAACAAGTCTGCAGTCATTTAATGCTTCTTTCTTTTGATCCTAAACGCTTGACCCAACCTGAAGCTAAATGATTGTATTGTCCATTTGAAAATGTTCTTCTGGCTCGTCGTATAACATGAGGTCTCCAGCTCCATGTAGTTAGTTATGTTGTTCGGCTGGATGCAGGGTAAATCCTCAAGATTATAAGAGAAGTCTTTTTTACCGAGATAATACGGATCATATTCTAAATATACACGTATTATTTTCAAGATGCCTTGTCTGTTCCAGCCTTTTTAGGGTATTGGCGTACTCGTGATCAACTTTGCTCCGTTTTGAACCTGAGAAATCTCCTTCCTGGTTAGGGCAGGGTCTGTTGCTCATGGTGGTTACCATAGCAACCAGTAACTGACAGTTTGTCCCTTCATTTATGTTTTTCTGGAAGATTGTTTTTTTATTCTTAAATGCTAATATGCTTTATTATGTTTTTCAGGTTTGTGCATTCTGGTGAATTAAGGTAGTCCAGCCGAGCGTAAAACGTCTGAACAGAAGCTTTATTTTCAAAGCAGAACCTATCCAGATGACAAACAGTAAATCAAAACTAAGCTGAGAGTGCATCTAAGTGAACGCAGAGGATTCTACAAACAGAAAGGAACACAGGTGAACTTAAATATACTGGTGACAACACAGTCAGAAACTCAAAACAGCTGCGGTAATTATGCACAGGTGGCGGGGATGAAGGAACAACTAAGGAAAACAGAACAGATCATGACAATTCTGGCTGTAAATACAACTTTAATACATTCAATAGTTGCTGTTTCAAGCCCTCTTGTGACAAGTTAGTCAGATATTATTACTTTCTTTGTAAAAGTTGTTTTCGTACAGCCATAGAAGACAACTACACAAAACCTTGACTTCTACAGATTAAATAAATACGGAAGAAACAATGACTTGTCTATCACGGCTCAAGTTTTTTGTAGTCCCGTAACCGGACCTGTTACAAATGGAACCAGTATTTCTTTCCTATTTCTAAAACAAGTTCCTATATCTTGCTGAAAAGTTACTTTTAAGTTAGTTGTGTCTTACTTTTAGTACATTAAGAAATTTGCACAAGAAATTAGACCAAAAATACTTGGTGAAATTTTGTGATTTACAGAGAATATTTCATGAATGAAATGTATTATTTTTTTATTTAGTTCAAACAGGTTTTTAAAAACAAGAAAACAAGCCATTAGTAGGACAGAGAAAATATTAACTAGGTTTAAGATGACGTAGCACTGATGTCACACAATACAGATGGATGGCAGAAAGTAAATGCAGCCCATTTATTTCTCTTGATCCAGCATCAAAATACCTAAAGTCTGTGTCCTGTACAGTTGTTCCACCAGTTCTAATAGAGAGAAATATAAACGTTATTTTCGGATTTCGAAGGTAGTTGGTCACAAGGCAGCTAATTTTAAAAAACTTACCAAAAAAAGAGGAGAAAAGTGGATCAACAATCTACAGCTAAAAACAGGAGGTGCAGAAACTAACAATGCCGGAGTTAGCAATGCCCACTTTCTAACAGGTAACGATCGCATCGTTTAAATTGTATTTTCAGATATTTTACTGAACAGTTACTTAGAAAGACAAGCTTTTATATGTAAGATATATTATTTTATGCCCTAGCGTGGTTGTCCTCAGAGTGCTAACGTTGTTAGCAGCTAGCTCAGTGCCAAGACCCGGACAGAAAATATGTTTATTCAGTAGGACTTTCGTGCTGAAATAAAAATAAAAAATTAAAAAAAAAGGGAGGGACCATTGCTATATAACAGAGGGGAACTGCATAACTGGAAGACAGAAGGACTGGACACTGACCCATTACAGAGGGCGAAGAACGCGGGACGTTGTTAAAGTTGGCACAAGATGGCCGACTTCTGTAGAGTGAGCTACTTTAAAATGTAATGAGTCTATTTAAAAAAAATTAGTGTGAGGTTGTGATGCTGTGGAGCTCTAGCCTAATGTTGTACAAAGTTTAGGTGTGGCAAGACACGAATATACTTTGTGTCTGAAGTATATTCAGTGGCCATGACACGAACATGAGATTTCTGTAGATCGCTGTGAATGGTTGACCTACATTGGACCTGAATCCAGAGTCCTACAGCAACTCAGCATTAACGTACAACTCCGGCATAAATTTGGGTTTACAGAAGCTAAATAAATTATTTACCAGCAGATCCAAGCTCATAGAAGTAATATGGGATAGTTCGTTGTCAGCGCTAGCATCGGTATCATAGATTAATTACTTAAAATAGCACAATTCACTACTCATCTTGCAAAAACAAGTCAACAGCCATCTAATGCTGCTTTTGATCCTAACTGCTTGACCCAGCCTGAAACTAAATGATTGTATTCTCCAGCCTTTTGAAAACTTCTCATTCCTCTGGTAACTACGTATCCCAAAGCAAATCCTTTAGGGAAAAATATACCAGGGCGATCTTTTCAATTTCTTCAGAGAGCACTTTGACAGTCTTTGAAACTCTGAACGAATGATTGAAGGGAGTCTGTGAGTCTGTGATAACATCTATTTAGAACTTTCAATACCTGGCATTATTTTACAATATACTTGATACTAAACCACTATTAAAATTTTTTGAAATCGAGAAAAAACAAAAAGCGAAATGAGATTTTAAAGTTTTGATGAAAATAAAACACTGCATTTCAACATGAAGAACAGATTCTGCATCACAAATTAACATTTTCAACACTACAGAACATATTTACAATTTTTTTTCATTCTCACTTATTTGTGCAAATAAAAAACAGGCTAATAATTCAAACTATGTACAGATGTTTTTCCAGCCAGGCCCCTGGCTCCGTGCCTGGTTCCAAACACCCATCCCATTCAGAAATAAAATTCAAAACGTTATTCGATTGATCAAAAACTGAATTGGCTAAGCCAAACTCAAAATCGTCCAGGAATCTGTGTGGTGTCTTTTTATACTTCTTTTTATTCCTGGGGACTTTTTCTTCCCCTGGAAAAATATTGTCCCGCCGTTATCTTATTGCTGTTGTTACTCAGTGTCTCAATATTTTCAGTTCCAAAATAAAACTATAAATACATCCGATGTGTACCATATTATAAATGTGAAGTTTGTCTTATCTTAACACACACTGGATTATATTTCATTGTTGTACAATTCAATTATGTCTCTAAGATAGTATTTTACCAGTATAAAGGTTTTGCTCTTGTTGCTGATTGTGCAATAAGGGAAACAGTAGTGTCGAATCAACTGTCTTTGTCTTTTATCAGTCCAAATTCTGGCAAATTACCATTTACTATTGATTGCAAAGTACATCACTCAAAGACTTCTGAGTGATGTATTCATTGCCATTTATCACAACTGGTAGGAATGGTTTCTCTCCTGCATGGACACAGATGTTTCAGGATCCCGGAGGCAGAAAAACTCCTGTCACACTGATGACACCAATGAGGTTTCCTCAGGTTGAGGCTGCTTCCCTCTTCTCCTCCCTCTGCAGCCGGCACAGCTCCTCCTGGATCTTCTCATAATCCTGCTGCATAAGACACCAGCAGCTGTCATGGAAAAACACACACAAAAAAATCAGATATTAACTTTTTCACTAAAAATCAGAACAAAGTAATTGTGTTTTTGAAGTGTAGAGGTCAACATTTCCTGTTATTCTGCTGCGATTTAACAACATTGGATTTACATGATTTACGAGTTAAAGAAAACAAACGAGCAATAAAGGAGAATTGTGTTTTTAAAATAAAAGAAAATCTCGATTTTTAAAAATGCTGTACAGTTGGACTGAACACCAAAATATTTATTTTGTAAGAAAACTGTAAAAAGTACACTTCCAAAATGACCCCAAGTTTATTTTTGTAATATAAATCATACAAAAATGTGAAATCAACCTCTTCTTGATCCAACATTTGCTCTTTAAGCCTCTCAGCAGTATTGGTTGATTTAATCATCCTGGAGAAAGGAAACAGTAAATTAATTTACGTCTACGATGAATTTCTTCTTTGTCAGCCTCACCTTGTCATCAAGCTGCTTGTACCGGTCCCTGATGTCCTCAAACGTTTTCCTCTCTTGTTGGAGACGTCGCCCCCTCCTGGGGGGAGTGTTGTCAGGGTGCTGCCAGGAATCTTTGGCCCCATGACAAAAAATGAAATTGCCCCCCCAAATCTCCCTGCGCAACTACTGTTAGTTTCTTGAGTCTATCTGACCCATATAAAGCATCACAATTTTAAAGGCTTGCAATTGCCTTGCTTTCTTTGGTCCAATACTGATACTAGCACAATATTTAGTGCTAATGAATTTTACATGCAACAGTCTGCATACAATACAACAAATATGTTGCTTACATTTTTTATTATTAGTTTTGTCTCATTGAAATGTCTCTTCCCACTAGCAACAGTCACATACAAAATATACATTAAACCATCCAGACTTTTCAAAAAATGCTATGTAGTTGCATTTTATTCAAGCTGCAGTATATAACTTTAACTTCAACTTCATTCACTCACTGCTAAATGTGCTCATGGTGGAGAAACAACTTGTTGTATTGCCGTCGTTGGTAGCTATGCTAAATAAACTGAGCATTCACAGTTTGAATCTGCACAGCTCTGTGCTATGCTAGCTGCAAAACATCTAAATCTCCAGAATATCATCCATTGTTATACTCATCAAATCACTTTGAAACAGCTTATGGAAAGGGAATTATCATTGTAACCAAAAATTCACAATGATCCAAATAAATAAACTGTCTCGATTCCCAACACATTCTTCTATTTCTCAGTTTGGTCAGGGCCACCAGCTGCAAGTCAAAGTATAACAAAACATTGCCTGCAATCTGAAATTGAAAAGTAACTATCTGGGTTTACTTAGGGAGAGAAAAAGGAAGATAAAACCCTCACATCTGACGTAAAGCTATTGGTATGAAAACCTAACACCTCTGCTTTTTAGCAGAGACAATAAAAATTGGCCTGTGGGTTATATTACCACAGGTTTGCGAAAAGTTGCTATGTCTGCAACTGTTTGGAAATCACAGGATAAAAAATGTGTGAATTAACAAGCATTAATCTTGAACAAGCACCTGATATAACAAAATGTACCCACACTGGAGAGGCTTCTCTCACACCCAAATATTTGGATGTAAATGTCAGATTATGGGCTTGATTAAACACCAACATGAAGGAAACCTTAATGTCTGAGTCTCTGTTCAGACATGTTAGGCTGCAGTTTGACATCTGTCTCGAGTCTTTACTTAAAAACTGCATTCCAGCTGCAGAAAGAAAAGCTTTGCATGATGATGGATGCTCCAAGGCTTCCAACTGCACCAATAACTAAGTACTCAGAACTTTTACTCAAGTTAAAGTACCTCCATGATAAAAAAACGAGCCCTGTACTTCAAGTCTTACGTGAAAACATACTGATATTATAGAAATGATGAATATGTTTTAATATACTCACTGATATTCATTTATTCTGTTTTCTCAAAAACACCTTATTGTGATGAAAAAACATAATACAATACTTGCATCCTGTATATAAAGCTGCAGTGTGTAAATTCTATAAAGAATATATTTTTTTTAATATTTCTTTAAATTGTCAACACAGTTTGTCATGATAATCTGAAAAGTTTGATCTTCTCCAATAGCTACTATTGCCATCTGAAGAAATGCACGAAAACAACCAATCAGAGCCAGGAAGTGGGTCTTAGCGCTGTCAATCATCCTCATGTACTCGCTGCTAAATGAGCTAATGGCAACAACAAAAAAACCGTTACAGAAAAATGATCACTGGTGGCTATGCTAACTAGCCTGAGATTTCACAACATGCTACACTAGTTGCAGCGCCATAACCTGCCTCAACAAATATGTAAACATACATTTTTGAATAATAATACCAATCAAAACTGACTTGTCAACAAACCTGACTTTATTAGCAGTTAAACCAATCTTCTATTCTATTCAGACAAGCCACCAAAAGATCCCACAAGGAATACAGCTATTGACTCTCCAAGTCAACAAAACACATGAAGTGATTGTGCAAATTACCCTTGAATATCACAGTAAGGACATTTAGTCATTTAGTGCCAAACGTACAAGCACAGATTTTCCATGGAAAGTTTTAATTCTGTATGGCTATGCCTGGAAAGTGAGTTTGTCAGCGCTGAATGATGCATACAAAGGAAAATCTATGTATGCAACCAATGCTCATCATTTCACTGGGATTCCTGTCTGCGCATGTTAAGGTACCTCCACTTTCCAAAGTCCTTCTTTCATCATTGCCTCCTCTTTCTCAACTTTATCCTGAATGCATTTAAACTCCATCCATCTTCCTCCCACATGTCAAGGCTCTGGTAGACTCATCCCAAAGGCAGCACTTAGGTAAACACAAGCAACACATGTCATTTTTCCCCACAAACATCAGAGCATGCCCTTCCTCTGACCTACAAATGCCTGAGCTGCAGCTCAGCAGTTTTACATCCCTTGATTTATTTAATGGACTGCCTGGTTTTCTGTCTCTTTCTGGAAAATGTCCATTATGGCGACTTCCTCTATCGTCACTATGTTCGGAAATATCAGCTTATCAGCAGCTGCCCTCTAGTGGACATGGAGCATTACAGCCACGTATACATTTAAATTAATTAAAAGGATGAATGCAGTGGAGCATCCAGGAATTGTCATTTCACAGTAGGATTTTGGTAAGAATGTTTACCAGCTTATACTGATTCTGATGCGTTTTGTTTTCGTCATATTTGAGCGAATGTCCTTGACAAGAGAACACAGCAGTGCAATTGGTCATTTGTACATGAAAATACACTTGATGACCATTAGAATTTTAAGGATTGAATATATTTACGATATATAATTGGAATGTATTCAGTATTTTTGCAAAATTGTGGTGATCCTTGGATCATGATGATGTGGCCCTTGAATACTGCTGCCCAGAGTGCAGCTCAGTGTTAATTATATTACCAGAAAAGGTAACGTATATCTGCTTTACCAGGATACAAACACCTGTGTTGCCATTTTAACTCATTTAAAAGTCACAAGATTATTATATAGAAGAAAAAGTATCTTGGTGGTAAATAAATAGCTTTATTTAACAACACTGTATATATTTACAGTCAGCCCCTTTATTTCATTCTAACACTTTTTTTCCCTACTTAAAACAGACTTTAGTTGTAACAAGTGGAGTGCTGCCCTCTAGTGGTAATACACTGAATTCAGCTGCCACACTGCAAAAACATACTGAAGACAGAAGTTCATAAATAGATTTAAATATAAAAATCTTCATATGTAGTTTTACAGCATGTTTGATTGTCTCTTTAGTATCTTCATTTGTTTGTGTTGGCACAGCTGAATAATTAGAGTAAAACTGAATCAAAGGGCGTCAAACACATTCTGTAGGAATTCAAGTGTCACTCAGGTCGTTCGCCATCATTTATAAATCTAAAGTAAAAAAAACTCAACTAAACTAAAAATAACTAAAATCCGACCCAGCAGCACCATGTTAGGCTGTAGATCCTTAAGCTGGTTATGGTTTTGATATCTCATCAACCATCCAAACTGGAAGTAGAGTTCAGTGTTTTAGAATGAAAATGAGGAAAACTATGCAACAAAGACAATTAAGCAGACAAATGTACAGAACAATAAACCCCAAGAGTCTCTACAGCAATAAAAACTTCATGAAAAGTTAATGTTTGTGTAATCTGCATGCTTTGTGGAAGGTTTTTGGATAAAAGTCTTTAGGAAAAGGACAGAAGAAACACTGATATATCTCACTCCTGATAAAATATGAAAGATCAATCTTTAAAAAAAACTCATAAGTTATTGCTGTTGAACATGATTAGAGTCAGGCAGTCTTTGGTCCCTTAGCGTTTGAGTTCATCCCTCCAAATCTCAGACATGTTATCCACCAGCTGAAGCCTGTTGATGCCACTTCTGTCAGTCAGATTCAGCATTTGAAATGTTTGCTTGTTCAATCCAAGTCCAACAGCCTTAAGGAGTTTAACTCAGGTCCTCTTCTTCCCAGAGGGGACCAGCTCACAGCAGATGCACACAGATGAAGAGAGTTTCAGCTTTCTGAAGAAGCTGTGTCAGGCGTTTCTTGACTAGGTGACTCCAGTGGTGAAGTCTCTGCAGAAAGAAAGAAGACTTGTTAACACACGTAAATGAGTGCAACACTGTACTTTAACAAACTAAAGAGCTTTTTCTCTTTCTCAGGCTGTGCCGTCTTTAGCATCGGCTGAGTAACTTTTGCATGTTACTCTGAGAGAAATAATCTCATCACGTTTTACTCACCATCTTCGTTCGTGTTAGCATGCTGATTCCCACTGAGCGTTTCTTCACCATTTGAATTATTCTCTGTTAAAAGTAAATTATGTTTGTTTTAATAAACAAAACCAAAAACATCTGCAATGCAGACATAAAAACATCACAATATTATGAAAAAGTTCAATATTTCTGGTCATTGATCTCAAAGTTAAACTCACTTATAAATATCCAGCTACTGGTGAATAAATGTCCCTGGAGCCAATGAAATATTTTAAAAAGTGCAAATATCCATGTTGTTAAATTTCCACACAGATAACAGCTCTGTGGGTTAAACCAGGGGTGTCCAAACTGCGGCCCAGGGGCCATTTGTGGCCCCCAGTTCCATTTCAAGAAAGATCTAAATTTGTTTATCAAAGTTTTTTTTTAATTTTTAATCAGTGTAAAATTAATACTGATAATTTTATTGCAATAGAAAATGTTAAGTACAACAAAAAAACATTGATCTTTTCAGAAGCAAACTTTTATAATAAGTAGAATTATGTTTATTCAGAGAATCTTACTGAAAAGCCGACTTCACTGTACCCAAATCAGCTTTTGTGTGTTTTACTTAGTTTGACTAAAAGTATCAAGCATTTTGAAAGGAAGTGACACAAAATCCTGACCTGAAAATAAGCTTGTTGAAAACTAGAAATATGTAAGTTTTTATTTAAAAAAGGACTACTTTATGTGGTTGATTTTAGTGGGGGTTTTGTTTTGTTTTGTTTTTTTTCACCCACATGACAAAACGTTTGGACATCACTGGTTTAAACTGGCTTGAGCGAAAATATGGATTTATAATATTTTCATCAGTTTAGTCGTGTTGTCCTTAGATTTTTTTTCAATAACTCAACAAAATGGGAGCAAAGTGTGTATTTTTGGGGAACAAAATGTCTAAATATAAACTGTGAAGTCTGTGTCAATGGCTGATTGACTCCTTTAATTTATAACAACAATCAAATTAATGTGATTTTTGCACATTAATTTGAGTCTAACTCACCAGTTTGACTGTTGGGCTCTGGAGTCACAGCAAATGGGTCCGGATTGGATTCTGAAATATAAAAATATCATTATGTGAATGAAAACATGTGAGTTTACAGATTTTAATACAGTAATTAAAGTTAATCTCCTCACCTTGGTCAACAGATGGATTACAAGTTGGGTCATTTGGCTCTTCTGATAAAATATGATAACATTATATTTAAATATATATATGTTATCTCTATTTTGCAAGTTACTTTGAGTGAAATAATCTTATCAAGTTTTACTCACCATTTCTGTTCGTGTTATCAATCAGATGTCCGTTGAGCGCTTCTTTACCCTTTGAAATAATCTCTGTAAAATTGGAAAAAGTAAATTGTTTGTTTTTGATAAACAAAACCAAAAACATCTGCAATGCAGAGAC